TTATTTCTTAAACAAATAAATATACAGTGTATTTTTAAAAAATAAATGATATAATTTAATCAAACATGAAAATAATGAACTATATTTGTCGTTCTGACAAATGCTGGTCGATTGCTGTAACTGAAACGTTTTCATTGTTATTCTGGACCACAAAATCAAAGTTTTCTTCAGTTGGTAACTGACTGATAATGGAAGCCCTTTAACAAAAGATATGTATTTTCCATTTATAAACTATGGATAAAAATGGAAGATATAGTAACAGATAAATTCAAAAGCAGTGAAATATGAAAAAAATTGTGGAGAACAATGGATAAACTAAAAAAATGTGAATATAGAAAGAAAAACATCTTTATGCATAGCTAAAATATATTTATACTAAAATGTATCATTTGAGAGTGGATTTGGTAAAAATTTGTCATTACTAGCATCTCAACAAAAACTGTTGAAATCAGTTTAACATATAAGGTACATGGTAAACTTTGGTATTCAGGGGGTTCACTTTAAACACATCTGTAAAAGGTGTGTATTTTATTTACAGAAGATACTTGGTATCCTCCTGATCAATAATTTCAATCGTGATATATATATATATATATATATATATATATATATATATATATATATATATATATATATATATATATATATATATATATATATATATATATATATATATATTCACATGATGTTTATCAACATTCATAGTCAACCTTTTAAAGCATTGCATCTTTTATCACCAGTAGGTATCACGCTCAAACTCTAACTCACCTACGCTTGACAAGTAAACCCGATAACCCAAATAAAAGTGTATATATCATAGCTGAGTATATAAACCTATACTTCTAAACTGAATAATATTAAATCCGATAATCTTATCGGTTGAATTCAACGTTCAAGAGAAAAACACATTTCTATCAAAGTATTGCACTTTTAGGTAAATTTAATCTAATTAGTATGATTGATCATATATTACTACCTTTCAAAACTAAAATACCAATCAAAAGTAATAGTACAAACAGGTAGAGTTTCTATAATCTACAGTAAAACATATGTCTATTTAACAAAATTTGATTTGAACAGATTGAAGTTTTAATTACTCAATTGTCTCTTAAACGTTTGTCATCTAATCATTGCATTGTTTCTACTACCGATAAATATATATATATATATATATATATATATACGTAACCACACACTGTTTGCACGATCTAAGCACCTGAGCACAGTAAGTAAACACTTCCATTATTTCTTTCATTTTGTACATACCTTTGATGAGTTGTATAAAGTTAGATCAACCAATCAATTAACCAAATCAAATCAATAATATTCAATTCAGTATTGACTTTGTAAAACCAAATATGAATAGTTGATAATGTACATTATATATTAGCACTAAACTCATACTATTATAAAAAAATTTATAGCTGAAAATAGGTCAAAATACTTTCTTGAAATAAAAAACAAGCGACTTCTTATTCACACTTTTAGTTAGATATTAACTATATTTCTCAGTATAGTGATATCAATGGGAGAACAATTATAAACTGGAACGGATCAAAAACAGATGTTTAATTCTTGTACTATCTCACAGATGTTCAAATTTTGTAGTTCTGTGATGAAATCCTAATTATCAATGTGAAGTTACATACGATTAATTACAGATTGATAACCATGGCTTATTCAATAACATAATACTTTGTCAGTCCTGGATTAAAACCATCGTCCAAGTTATATTATTATGTCTTGTTCTCGTGACTGACTTCAGCCAGGGATCAAAATTGTCATTCAGCTTTTGTAACTTTAGATTCAACTCAGTCAATTTATAATCGAAATATTGATTTGTGTTGTCTAAAATGAAAACGAATATTTCATTTTCTTAAAACTACGCTCTGTGAAATTACTCAATTGTGTTTTTATGCATTATAAGTACGATACATTTAAAGATTAGTATAAACTGCTAAAATACTTTAATTTATATTTACTACAGTCTATGTGAATTAATCAATAATCTCTCAAATGACCTCTTTTCTCATTTGAATAAAACAGCCTTATTAAAATGGAGAGTACTCTTGGTTCTAATATCAGTTTTCAAGATACTAGTTTACCTCACAGTTTCAAATTAAATTGTTATCACTAATATATATACAAATCCTGGGACACTTCAGTGAACATTAAATTTATCAGTTGACAAATAGTCCTGTAAGCTTGAATAGTTCATGATATCAAATAAATATTGATATGAATAAACACTTTTATCATACTTGTAATTATACATAACGATTTCTTGTCAATAATGTGATGACTTTTTCTTTGTTTGGTCCACTCTCTGAACCTTTTTAGATAAGCTCGTCTTTATTCATTTTACATTAGACATGTTTATAGAATTATCGGCCATACATAAAATGGAATTTGGAATATCGTACAATTTATTATCTGCATGTAAATTAGTGATCGTCAGAACATTTGAAATTTTGCTCGAAGTTGTATTGGTATAAAGATTTTTTGAAAGCTTAAATTGCGATATTATCACTAATTCGTTGAGCTGCTTAAAGAATACCAATGATCCCAGTTTTAGAAACTGTTTCCTCAATATTATAGATCTATCTTGTCAACGTATACGAGACGATAAAGAACATTGAACAACAGAAACCAAATAAAAAATTTACAAGCTTTTGTCTGAAATCAAATCTAAAGTATATTGGCTTACATATAATAACAAATAGTATATTGATTGTCATTAACGTATAAGTTACAAGTACTTCGAGTTGGATCTATCTTTAAACTTCTGAATCTTTACATTGAAATTAAATGAGAATGAATAGAAAACTTTTGTGGCATTCATCTAGAAATTTTGTTTTCTAATCACTCTACTTGCAAGCTTTATTTTATATTGTGTGAAAACTTAAACATTGGAATGCGCTTACGACTACCGCTCAATAAACTGTTCATACAAGCGCCGAAACTGCTTTCACTCAACTCACTGAATAAATTAAATCTAAGTAAAATGTATTTCGAGCCATTTTTCGATTTCCATTAAATCCATTGGAATGTAAAACAGATATTCCGAAAAAAAATTTCAGTTAATTAAAACGTTTAAAATACCATGGAGAGATTCTATAATTTTCGATTTGCATTCATTTATAACTCTTGGTTTTTTTTAAGAAAAAACACGTCTTGTTTTGTTTACTGTGCGAAAAACGATTAATGATCTGGCTTTTCCTGATGATTTTTAAGCTAAAATAGAGTATTGTTGTGATGTTTCTTTGTTGTTATTTGAAATGTAACTATGGTAACCCATAAGCTTTATAGAAATAGGTAAATAAATAAATTTTATACCAGCTGACGTTAGAATAGTGAATGCAGATCCACAAAAGTACATATATATATATATATATATATATATATATATATATATATATATATATATATATATATATATATATATATATATATATATATATATATAATTCAATAGAAGTTAGGACACCATGGAAAACCTGGAAGCACTAAATGACCGTTTCGTCCTAGTATGGGACTCCTCAGCAGTGCGCATCCATAATCCCACCCCCAGCGAGATTCCAACTGGTTAAAGTTAGACATTAACACCGTTGGATGCCGGCCAGCTCAGTGATCTAAAGGTTAAGCGATTGTGTGCGACACTGATAGGTCCTGGATTCGAATCTCGTGAGGCGGGATCGTGGATGCGCATTGCTGTGGAGTTCCATACTAGCACGAAACGGCCATTTAGTGCTTCCAGGTTTTCCATGGTGTTCTAGCTTCAAGTGACTCATGATTTCAACTACTGAAATTACTAAAATCGTAAAGCCCCTTCTGATATATCTATATATTTATTGAAACCTCATTTTGATGGTAAAATATATTTCCATATTCAGTATAACAGTGGATTCGCTGAAAGTTATTTGCTGGTAGAACAGATTCCCTTGATAGTTATCATTTTATGTGAAAACGTCACAAAACTAACAAGAGTTTGAGGTCAACGCAGTCCAAAGACCCTTTAAAGTAAATAAGATAAAATGTTTGAGAGTTAAATGAAGCTGCCATTCGTAACAGGATGTATTAAGATTTTTTTAAAACAATCGTGTATTGAAAATTTTAAGTAATACGGATATATTAGATATATAGTTTATTAAAGTTGTCATCACTTCCTTTCAGGGGCAGCTCTTTGTAAAGCTGTACAAAAAATTACGTAATAAAGATCTGTTAAATCATGACAGTGTAATTTTTATTGCATGTACATACACTGAAAGGTAAAACACCAGTTGTTTGTAGTTATTATTTTACTTTAAATCGATTTAATAAACCTGTTGTCCCGTATACCCGTACGAATAAACTCTTGTATGAAACGAAGTCACAAAAAGTAGATACAAATCGAGATCATAAAATGCAAACGTCGTAAATCAATATAATCGCATAAATGCTTACCATTCACTTCATTTAGGTCTACTATCCCTCATGGTTTCGTCATGCATGACTTTCGTCAGCACAGTGTATTCGTAATCTTGAGGGATAGGATTAAACCAGCCCTAAGGACTACAGAAATATGAGATTGGCTACTATTCAGTGATCAGTCAAAATAAATATCTCAATCCTACAAGAGACCCATCCACGGAAGGTTACAATAAGCAATCAAAACTGCATATGGAGAACCCTTTTCCATGAATTTGTCAGCATTTCCAACAAGGAAATTCGCAGTTAAGCTTTGGTCTTTCATGTAATACCGTAAATGCCGTTTCCATGCATATTCAAACTCATTACACTAATTTCACCTACATAAGCTAAATCAGCTGAGTTTATTCGACTGTATCATCATACGAATAAAATGCGTTATATCCGAATATTTCTGTTTATGTAGTGGGCGAATGAAGTATACTAATTAAATTTCAAATAGTATTTTCATTTCATACGATCCTTTCTATGATAATTGTTTTTTATTTCATAAAAAGTGTCTACATTAGGTGCTTTGTATATAACACAATTATTGGGGATTGAAATGACAGCAACACCAGCAAAATCACAAAACAAGTGACACAGAAGGATCGACATCATCCATGATGGCCTACATGGACGGTAAAAATGAGAAATCTCATGCAACAACTTACGAATCAGTTCGGTCGCTGAGATTTATGGAAGCGTTTCCACAATTTACAGGCGGAAGACCTCAATGAATTTATCACGCATAATCAAATTTCTAAATGGGTCTAAACATAACAATTACTAAATAATATTTATTATTTCTTTTACTTTTACAAAGGATCAGTTAAAACAAACTAATATAGCAAAAACAATAAACATTTTGATAACCCATTATGTGTGTGTGGCTGTATGTAAACGAATTATACAAATTAATCACAGCATAACATAGACAATGTCGTTTTTATAACAAAACAACAAGTAATGATAGATAAGTATCAATCAAATCATAATTGAATATAAACACAAGTTAGATATGTTGAAAATAAGTCGAAGACAAGTCAAGTAAACAAGTAAATTAAATAAGGCACATTATTGTATTCAAATAATATTTATCCTATGACTAAATTATTTTTTAACCGTTTTCCTATAAATATATTCACGAATACATGTATTCTTATGCAACATTCGAAAATAGATTAACAAAGAATAAACGTTTAGCATTCACTGTTGCATAATCACAGAAGCTTGAACTAAAAATTAAGAAATAATGATAACGGTAAAAATAAAATGGGGTAAAATGTGATTACTGTTTAAATAATCAATTACATTAAATGGAATTAGAATTTTCAAGTGTAAATAAGTTCTGATGGGAAAATACTATTTGAAAGACAAATATTTATTTTCTTAGAAAAAGAAATCCCTGTACATACAGAAAAGTAGACAAATATGACGTACAAGTACATTCAAGATCATCACTCATACATATAGATACAGACACACAATTATACATAAAGCAAACACAATTTATGAAACCACATAAATAAATAACGGAAGTAAGTGAACTAGTTTCTATTTCATTCCAAGGTAAGTCAATTAGTAAGAACAATGTAAGTATGTGGAATAAAAACCAACGAAATAAGGAAAGAGCAGAGCAATTTATTGAGCTGAAATACATTTATGAAAAATCATCATTATCCACATCAATACCATTGGTCATCGCAGACGTAAGTATTAGGATAAAAAATAATCTCGTTTCCAAAACGTGGTTAAATGATTTTCTATCAGTTATTTATATCTATTATTTTTCTTTTTAAACAATCAGCAAGAAAAACGGTACACATCTAAAATCATCTATTATTGAACACGCTGTTGATTTTGTTTTAATTGATGTAGACTCGGCGCTTGTGTTCGCGCACCGTATTTTTCCGGTTTCGCTAATGAATCTAAATCAATACTTAATGATCCTAACTCTTTCCATGTATTGCCAATGTTTAGCGGTTTAGATTTGGATGGTGAAATTGGATTGGATTGAACCACGTGTTGTTTGAATTCCTCAGTTTGCTTGTTTTGATGAGACTAGTTAATAAGTCAAAGAAAAAAAGCACAGTGAAAGGTAAATTATAAACACTCAGATAAGAGAAAAGATTACTATTGACTAATTTGTGGCGATTTGATTAGTATGAATAGGGACAAACAGCGTTAAAAATCAATGTCTACATACCCCTATGACGAATAGTTGAGTGATCTGGTAAAAATAAACAGTATAACAAACATGTGTATTAGTTCACGTTGCCGCATCATATCGGAATAGATTTCAGAGTATTACAATTAGTAATAGTGTCAGGCCTAGTAATAGATAAGATTAGGGACAGAGGATATGATTAGAAAACACATAAATCAATGGAACAGAAAAAAACTTAAAATACTCAAGAAACTTAGGATATAAGGGAACACATCTTTAACAATAAAAATATTCTGAGTTGTATCACTTAAAGTCTCTAACCACTACATCAGTCAGTCAGTCAGTCAGCTACAACGTAGGACCAGGCACATATGTGCATCGGTCCAGGTTGCCATACCTCATTAGCACAGCAAGATGAACACCGGATTCATAGCAGTGGTTAGGTCAAAGGTTGCAATAAGGATATAGTATAGGAAGAAAGAATTAGTTAATAGAAAGAAAGATATGAAGTGATTTTAATCTCTTAGTTTAAGGGAAGACAGGGAGTGTATACACCGACGCCATTGTGATCGATTCTGAGCCATGTCACCAAGAGTCTCCAACCATTGGTTACGAAAGTCACGCGGACCCCAACCAAGTAGTCTGTATCTACCAACATGGCTCAGACTAGAAGTTAGTGACTTCAGGCACTGATGCCACGTTTTGGTTTGGCCGCCCCTAACTTTCTTCCAACCATCCCCTACACCGGTTAGCATTGCACGTCGTGGTAATCGGTGTTTGGGCATACGTAACACGTGACCCAACCATCTCAGTCGATGAAGATTCACAACCTCATCAACTGATTTACCATCATTCCCTAATACCCTGCGTCTAACCTCACTATTACTTACCCGGTGATCCCAGCAGATGCCAGCAATATTTCTAAGGCATCTGTGGTCAAATACTAGTAGCTCACGGGTGTCTTCCACTCTTAAAGGCCATGTTTCGCTGCCGTAAAGTAAGACAGAACGGACTGCCGCGCAGTATACTCGTCCTTTTATTGATAGACGGATATCTCGCCTCCGCCATAGGTGACGTAAGTTGGCAAAAGCCAAACGAGCTTTTCGAATCCGTGCTGAAATTTCGTCAGACACCAACCCATTAGGGCTGATCAGACTTCCAAGATAAGTGAAGTTGTCGACGCCTTCGACTACTTCACTCCCTATCCTTAGTTCAGGTGTTGACGCAGACCAGTCCTGAAGCAACAACTTGCATTTAGAGGGAGAGAAGCGCATCCCAAACATTCTGGCATTGTTGCTTAGTGCTACCAAAAGACTCTGCATTTTATCAGTGTCTTCACCAAACAGGACTATATCATCTGCGTATTCTAAGTCGATAAGTGGACCTCCTGGTAGGAGATCAATACCCGAGAACCCAGTCGACGAGAAAGTTATTTCCATCAATAGGTCTATGATGAAGTTAAACAAAAATGGAGAAAGTGGACAGCCTTGACGGACACCACTTGAAGTTGCAAAAGTAGATGACAGTTCGCCATAAGCTCTGACTCGACTAGTAGTGTTCGAGTAAAGAGCCTTCACAAGGTTTATGTACTTCTGAGGTACGCCTTTCAATGACAGACACTGCCACAGAGTCTCGCGGTCTACAGAATCAAATGCTGCTTTTAAGTCAAGAAAGACCACCATCGTCGGACGCCGATAGGTATGCCTGTGTTCTAGAACCTGACGAATGGTGAATATGTGGTCGATGCAGCCACGACCAGGTCTAAAGCCAGCTTGGTTCTCTCGAGTTTGTAGTTCACGAGTCTTAGTTAGGCGTTTGATAATTATCGAGGCTAGTATTTTAGATACTATGTTTGTTAAACTAATCCCTCTGTGGTTGTCACAGGATGATTTTGACCCTCTCTTATATATTGGGACGATAAGTGATTGCGACCAGTCAGATGGGATAAAGTCTAATTCCCAGATCTTAGCTAAAATATTAGTCAACCTAATCGCTAAAATTGGGCCACCATCCTTAAAGACCTCTGGAGCCAATCCATCTGGACCAACTGCCCTTCCTCGTTTCAGACTAACTATAGCCTTTTGAACTTCAGCAAGAGTTGGGGGACCTACTTCAATGTTCCATTCACACTGTCTGGGAATAGAGGGTAGTTGTACAGTAGCTGAAGGCCAGCTGAACTGTTCTCTAAAATGTTCCGCCCATCGTTCTAAACGCCTGGACTGGGAGCAGATGAGAGTATCATTTTTTTCCGAAATAATCTCACTTACACTTGACTTATTAATTCCAGTTTCTTTTATTAGTCTGTAAAGCTGTCTTGTGTTCCCTATAGTCGCCGCCTTTTCCATCTCTTTTGCTTTCGTTACCCACCACTGCTCACGGTCGTTCCTTAGACTTTTTCTTAACCTAGATCTGATTTGTTGTCGCTCTTCATCATGTTCGGAACCTGATGGGACGAGTTTGCGAGAATCCATCAGTGTGACAGACCTTGAAGAAATCCACTGGTTCCTTGCAACTCTGTGGTTTAAGTCACTAATAGATGTCACTGCTGTTTCCACAGCTGATTGTATGCCCTTCCAAGCAACATCTGGGTCAGCCTCGTCTTCACAACTACCTAAGTGTGACCTCAGTTGTTCCTGGAACCTACTTTTGATTTTCTCGTTACTCAACTCAGTTCTGACGGGTCTTTTTAATGTGGCTTTTTTGCGTCCAGTGAGGCGCAAGCAGATGCGTGCCCGTATTAGGGCATGGTCGGAGTCCAAACAGGTACTCCAGAATGAGCGACAATCTTCTACCGACCCTCTCCAACGATGACTGATGGCAATGTGGTCTATTTGAGTCCATCGTTGGTTTGGTGTAGGGGGTCGCTATGTTAGACGATGTCTCTCCTTATGCTTAAAATTTGTGTTTGCTAAAAATAAACGATTGTCTGAGCATAGCTGCAGCAGACGATCACCATTATCTGTTCGCTGTGTCGGAACACTGAAATATCCACCTAAATGCCTTTCTGTTTGGTTTAAGCTACCTATCTGAGCATTAAAATCACCTGCTACGAGTACTATGTCTGAGCGTTTAGCTTTCTGAAGAAGTTCGGACAGCTTTCTGTAAAATTCATCTTTCACTTCATCTGAGCTGCAGTCAGTGGGAGCGTAGGCAGAAACGACAAAAAGGCAACGACGTGTGTCCCTATCCTTCCGAGTTCTTACGTAGCCGTTCAGCCGAACGGCACATAAACGACTGTTGACGGGGATCCACTCTAGCAGTGTTTGTTCCGCCCTCATGCTTAGTGCTATGCCTACACCTGCCAGTCCACGAGAACTTGCCATCGGGTCACCAGATACACGAAGGGTGTATCTTGTTGGCTCTCCGTTTTGTCGAGGTGAGGTCAAGTGAATAACCACACTGGAATCCTGTATGCGTGTTTCGGAGACACAGCATACATCAATGGAAAGAGACTCTAGGGTTTTAGCCAAGGAAGCCTGCTGACCGATTTGACATAGGGTGCGTACGTTGAAGGCTCCAATGTGTAGTTTGGAGCGAGGTTTCAGTAGACCTGGGACAGTGTTTTGCGCACTAGAATCGTTGGCTATGGTGACACTTGAGGTGGAAGCCGAGAGAGGAAATTTAAAGTTGAAAGTCGATGTAGGAGGAATAATAGGAATTGAAGAGGGAGGTTGATTTTGAATACAGTGGTCTTGGGTGCTGTTAGAGGTATGAGGGCGGTTATCACTTCCCGGTTGCCCACACCGTGGAAGGTTTGTTCTGGAGGTACCTGAAAAGGAAATTGGATTAAAGGTGGTCTTAGTGACCTGAGAGCGTGACCGCAGTGCCCAAGGGACAACTGCTTGAGGCCGGTCACGCACGGCCTTTTCGTAGGAGGATTTTGACGTGTTAGCTCCGTTCTTCAAAGGGCCTTACCGCCGGAGACGGAAATCCGTGACGTAAGGTAAGGTGTGCATTTTTAGGGTCGATCTTTTCTAACCCCACCCCTCCTTGTGGGAAGGCAGCATCGCTGTCATGCTGGTTGTCTGAAGGAAACACCTTACTGCTGTCACACCTCTGTGCAGTCAGCAGTACGACTTCGCCTTCGGACCTTGGGTTTGTTGCTTTTAGTCTTACCGCTCTTCAACCGACCTGTCTGACATGGTAGGACCTTGAGGAACGGTTGTTCCAGCCAGTATAGCTCGGTTGCTTCATCACGATAGGCAAGCCCGACCACCACGTCAAGGTATATAAATCATCACCAACCTCACTTGTCACTCGTCACTCATCACAAATTTATCGCCTCCAATATCACCATCATAGGATTCACAAACAAACATTACACTACATACGATAAGCACATGGACCACAACAAGGTACTCTGTGCATTCAAAAGACAGAATTACTCTATTAATTGCTAGCTAACAGAATCAGTCAGTCAGTCAGTAACAACGTAGAACTTCGTACGTACGTACATCAGTTCGAGTTGCCACACCACATTAGCATAGAGATGCAGTGGTCGATTCAAATCCCGTAGTGGTAGAGGTAGAAAGAGTATAAGTAGTAATCGGGAAGATTAGTGTTTGGAGATGTTAGTTAAAGAGTATAATACAGTGAAATAAATTTGAGAGAAGAAAAAAAGGAGACAAGGAGGAATAAGAAGATCAAAATTTGGGAGAACACAAAGAGTGTATGCACCTGCGCCATTGCAAACGATTTTGAGCCATGTCATTCAGGGTCTCGAACCATCGGTTGCTATGATCTCGCGGTCCCCAACCAGGTAGTTTACACCTACCGACATGACTCAGACCACTTGTCAGTGGCTTCATGGACTTGTGCCATGTTTTGATCTGGCCGCCCCTAGCTTACTTCCATCCTACTCGATAGAAGACTGTCGCTCACTCTGAAGCACATGCTTAGATTCAGCTAACAGAATAGAAAGGTGTCAGGCAATTACGAAAGTTAATTAATTTATAAAGTCGCTTCTTAATAATGCATTTGCGCAAAATCCTATTCACTTCAATAAGTATTAAGCTGGAGACAGTTAAAGCTATCTCAAATGAAAACCAGAGTACATGAATGTGTCTGGTGTTGAAAACATGATGGAAGTCGATAAGTAGTGAATTCGAATAAGTCCTATCAGAAAGAATGTTAGCAGATGATAGTCCTCAAAAGCTACTTCATAAGTGCTGTATAACTAACAGTTCATCCAAACTAATTATTATTGCGAGAAATTACAAAGTCTTCATATAACACAAATACACAGCCTTCGATCATCCATTTTCATCTTGCCGTGTGTTCCGCATTCCGGACTGCCTTCTCGTCTAGTCTTCAAATGTTCTACCTACGCTGCGCTCCTGATGTACTAAAACTCTTTCCTCTGTTTGACGACTGTAACAGCTTCGATGCCGCGTCCCGCAGCATACTACTTACAAGCAACCTTGTGAGTAGCGTCCACTACAATACTAGTACTGCCGCCATCTGTGGACCAGAAAATTGAAGAAGTGCCTCTGAAATAAAAACCTGCGCTTACACGATAAATAGCCTTTATCTAATAAACAGAAAATGGGGATTGATGATTAGTTAGACAAATTCAAAAACTTCTGATACATAACTGACCCTTTGAATCAGGAAAGAGTATCACAGTACAAAAACGTTGAATAAAAAACACAGGAACTACTTGAAGAATTCGAGCTTCAGTAAGTAAGTTTGATAACTGTCTAGTGATGTTTCATGTCAAAAACTATGTCATGAATAACAATAAATACCATGGGCCAAATATTAATGGTAATGAACTGTTAATTTTTAAAATCTATACCAGGAGGAAATCTGTTACGATACACTTCTAAAATTAAATAATCCAGTTACATCTACTTTTGCTGTTTGAAAAAATTTATAAATTACTGTCATATCCTACAAACATTGACACTACTGGTATTAAGATTAGAAACAGTACATATGAACACTGAGATGTTCCCGTGTTTATGGACGAATCACAGCTCTGAATCAGATACAAATATGATTTGGGACAGAGTAAACAACTGATACCACGTTCTGACCATTTAAAGAAATTAAATGAAAAAAAAACATAGTCACAGTGTATTTATGTAATAGTTCTTCCTTTGGTTTCAAAGTGTGTAATTGAAATCTCATAAATACCTCATCTTTAGAAAAAATAGACAAAAGTTAATACACAATCAGATATCGCACATACTTCTGGAGATCAAGCAATTGTTCCGATCCCTTTTACACACAATCCAACATTATTTGACAATGATAACTTACATTTTGATTGGATGGATAAGCCTCAGTATTTGAAAAGTTGGAAAAAAAGATACCATCGAGGGATGAAACTGTTGGACCAGTATTCGCAGGAAACTGTACAGACGGTGCTGAAGTGAAATCACCAAACTCATTATCTAACAAACTGGGATACATTTTTTTGAAAAATAAGAAATGGAGAGAAATCTAAACAGAGTATACCACTAGAAGAAACTGCAAAGATTATTTAAGAACAATCTAGATTACCTCCTTTGCCCAAAAATGAGCTGAGAAAACTATTACTACTTTGCACGAAAGGGACTCGTTTCCAATTCAACATTTATCTAAACTTCGCAAACTACGGTATGCTAAACGTTTGTTACTAATTATATTTACTATAAGCAGAGATGGATGGTGGCTAGCGGTGGAATCCACGACGAAACGCGCGTCGTGGACTTCACTGTTAACAACCATCCATCTCTTGTTATAATGCTTGTGATTTAAGGTAATGTCGAGGTGATCCGTACAGGATGCCCATTTGCCAATAAGCGTCTGATCAATTGCAGTCCTAAACATCAATGGGAAGATCCAAGTGACCAAAACAAAAATGAATTAAAATCATATTTATATTACTATTTGTAATTTCAAGTTGTATGCAGACGATGAGAAACCGTGAAATAAAATGAATTCATTTTATTCACCAAACCTTGTCTTTGTTCTATTCAAATTTATCAAGGAAGCTAAAATAACCAAAGCAATTATGAGATAAACTAAAAATGTATAGTAACGCTTAGCATTCAACATATAATCAATATTATTAAATTTACTTATCAGGGTTTTGACATGGTGCAGTAGCATGATTTTGAATTGAATTGGTATTTAAAGATACGCCTGATGGTGTTAATACATTCCTAGGCCAATTAACTTCGAATCCCATTTGCGCTGGCTGTTGCCGCTGAGAGTGTACACCAGTTGTAGTTGATGTTGGTGAACTGCATATTGCATCAAACAGATCTATCATTTGATCTGATTTAATGATACTATTACCACTATCAAATGAATCTAACAAATCACAGGATGGTGGTCTTGGCTTTATGTTGTCTTTCTTTTCAGTACTCTGGTCGCAAAAATAGAAAAAGGAAATTAATCAAAAATATTTGTAGCTGTTAAGAAAAAATGAGCACTTACTTATGATTAATTTTATTGATAATGTTAGCAATTAAAAAGGTTATGTCAAACACTTCCATTACGATTATTTAATCATCTGAACTATATGTTGAAAAACATAGGAAGCATAATACTCGAACTTCTTTTAAACGTATTGATTCTTGATTTGGTTTGAACATCGGAAATATCCTATTATCTTAATTGTAGGTATCATTACCAAGGTATGACATGATAAGTTCGAATAAGTTGAGCATTGGGTAGATTGTTATAAATAAATAATAATATATTTGTAATAACCCAATGAGTAGAAAAACTAGATTTTCTGACGTTTTGTGACTTAATGTAAGCCACTTCTTCAAAGAATAAATAACCAAACTAGAATTAATCCAAGTTTAAATAGTACAACGGAACAACAAGAATATTATGTGAACAATCAAAAAACAGATCTGAATAATTGTAATTTTCGTGAAGATTTTCCTTTGCAATTCTTATATTCTCAACATTTTTACTGTATGTTTGTTTTAAACTAAGGATACCCAATAATCAATTACTTAGAAGCACCATTCATAGATGAAGTTATCAGGTGAAAGATACTGGTACTACCTTACGAGATTAGAATATGAGAGAAAACAAAGAGTGGTTATTATAATCTTACAAAAACTTGTGTACACTCCAGATATCATATAATGCAGGTGATGGTGAACAGTCATACTTTGATCAATCCAGCTTTACACAAACTCACTGACTGACACACATAGCTAAAATTATTTACTTAACCTACATACTGTCAACTTTGTGATGAATAAACAAACACAGTGTTCTGTGAAGATTTATTGGTAAAATATTTTATATATGTCGATTTTTAACATTTTCATACGGATATTTCTATAAATTTAATATCTGTGCACAACCATATGAAAACTACATTTTTTGATCATCCAAATTAGGAGATAATTAAGAAAAATAAATGGCCAATAACTTATTCGTGAGTGTTACTAGCACCTTTTATCATGAAGAAACACACTAAGAGATAACAATCACGTATAGATAAAGTGTAAATACAGTATATGAAAAAGCAGATAAATTTAAAACTGAAAATTATAAGTATGCGTCATTCACAAAAAAACTTTGTACACAGTCACAGTCACACACACACGCATAAACAGAAAAGAAAAATAAACAAAATTTAATATAAAACACTGAATAATATGAAAGAACTAACATAGTTGACAAATATCGACCACCGAACAAATGAAATAATCAATACAGGATTATTATTTTTCGTTGTTGTTGTTATTATTATTAAAATCAGTTCTGACTAGTAGCAACACGAAAAAAACAGCAATGTGACAGAACAATAACAGTCTGAATACAAAAGTGGAAAAAAATGGTAGACATCACATTCGAGTTAATTAGTTAACAGTTCTGTATCATTGAGCAAAGGTATTCAGACAGTCACGTCAACGATACGCCGTAGCTAATAAAATACGGATTTAAGAATAAAATCTTGAGATGGTGGAGAATCTCGCTTAAGTGAACTTCGCTTAAAGCAATAATATTTTATTAAACTTCATCGTAATCATGGTTACTACACGTGTAGTGAACGAGAACACAAATGGGGACAATCGAATGTATTTGAACACGAAGTTACAGAAACTCTTAGTAAAATCTGTGTACCACAAAGTAAACACTTCATTTGCAAAATATCCATCAACCGTCTCAGACTTTATTGTGTCTTCTTTTCTACACCAATATTTTTTGTTCTCGTTCTTTTTTCTTCGGTCTTCTTAACCTTCTGCCGCCAGATATTTCACTTTCGACTGACGATACATACTGTCGACATCAGTAGCACACACCACACACGCTCTCTGATATCAAATGGAGATGACTGCGACCAACAACTGGGAGAAAACCTATGTTAGGATGACAATGATATTTCCCTTATATAATACCATAGCAAAGAATTCTCAACTCTAGTTATTCAATATTGCATCCAATTTCTTTCTTACATCCACTCGAATTGTAATTATTCAGAGATATATCTAATAAAAAGTGCTTAAATAGTCAAAATCTTTTATCTTATCTTCAATTGTGAAAACTTTCTACCAATTTAGCTGATACAACCATTTTTCCCATCCATCATAAATATGATGCATGAATTTCAAAGTATAAACTAGGAAGGAAATATGTCATGAACTGTGGTATCTTCATTTGAGCTTCCCATTAAATAGCATCATCATAAGTAACAAGCTTTTCATAAAAGTGTGTGGGTGTATACGGTTATTATACATAATTAAAATCAGTCCAAACAAATCTAAAGCAAGAAAGTTTATTGTTACATTGCAACAGTTGAAAAATAAGTAGCTAAAATGATTGAGTGGGCTTCAAACTGTCTATCGAGAAACGTAATAACCAACGGCACAAATTCAGAAGATGGAAAACGATAGTCGGTATATTTTTACCGAGCCTCATTTAGATTCTCCTTCTTCACTACGATATTATTTTAGAAGTCAACAATGAACACAAAGACTGTTGTATATACACATATTAAAAACTTAGGTAAGATAACATACTTGATTTCTAGGTGTCACAATAACTTGGCCCAGAGATTTTTCATTAGATTGTGATGCATGTGTGTCGCCGTTATTATTATTAACACGACTATCAACACTATTACATTTAGTGGATCTTGAAATCTTTTTCGATGAAAATTCATTCTGTGCATAATAATCCCCATAGGATGACTGGGTTTTCGCTTCATATGTTCCACTGGATTCAACAGCATTTGATGGGAACTCGTAAACTTCTTCAGAAACCATACGTGGATTGAACTCACTTTGGAGGTTATTTTAAAAAATACGTAAATGAAATGCATAAAACTGTTATTTATTGTAAACGACAATTGTGTTTTAGTTATAAAAATATCTATTTGTACAAATAACTAAACTGGGATTGAGAGTGAATAAAATGGAAACAGTTTCTTTATAAACCAGTTGAATTGTTAGTCATGAAAATAGCTAATTAAATAACATGCAAATGACATAAGAACGTAACGACTAACGAATTACAACATGAACAATGAAGTATCTATAAAAATTTCTGGATGTTGACGCATTGACATACACACAAACACAAACATACCCGCCGGAAATAAGAACCTTATAAATCCCATAAGAAAGACGATAACAGTTGTTAAATTGTATGCCAATTAAGGGAAAAGTCACTGAGTAGTGACAAACAAAAGAAATATTATGATTCTGTATGGCAGGTCATTATTAAGTAAAATAAATAGGTAGAACAATGCTCTTGACCGACAAAGAGTGCATTTGCAGTTTATTACTGTTTATCGTAATTTTTAAAATAAATATTTAGCTTAATAGTGAACGAAATGTCCCACTAATAATCATACTCGACAGTCAGCTTGTTTTTATTGTGTGAGGTTAACCATCTTCCTTTCAATGTCCAAAAAAAGTGTGGTGTCCAGCATTATCGAGCACTTTATCATTCATTTAGTGGGTGAGGACTGAATATAAGAGCATGATTCTCAATGAAAATTTCACTTCAGTCATCTAAAGCTATACAGACATGTCTGCTTAAATAGACAACTATAGCGCATCTTAATTTGCAGGATGAAAAAAGTAAGTCAAATTCAAAGCTTCAAATGAAATCCTCAGTAGTAATTATGCTCTCATACCGACTATGTGAACGTAAAAATGTCCGAAAATGTTTGATACAACATACACAGTGAACATTGAAAAACAGATACGCTGCAAATTTCGGGGATATATGCTATCTTTTTTTTCTTTACACGCTACTAACTGACTTAGCAAATCAATGATAGAACGTGACTTTTGAGAAACAAACAAGCTTCTTGAGCAGTCACACTTTTTTTGAATAATTTCAAATTATCTCAAATCTGTTTACACATTAAGCAATGGATATATACAATTATTAATATACTATTATGAAAAGTTAATCAAAGGGTAATTAGTCTCTGACAAATAGAGAATATGATAATAAAGAGAATCGGTTATGAAATGCCAAGTTATGTTCTTAATATTCGACACTGACCGGCAGTGATAAATTACATAACTCAGTATAATAAAATGCTCATCAATATCAACGTCGAGTCGAAAAGTGATGCATTTTTAAAGTTAAATTTACTTGAAATATTACAGTAATACGTTTTAACGAACTTTAAGAAGTATTAAACCTATATCATGAAGTTCTTAATTATTGTCCGTAACCAATATGGTTAAGTTCTAATCAGCTTGTACAAGAGATTTTTTAACAGTACTAGAAAAAACTGCATATGCTAATATACTGTTATTTTCATGAAATATGTACTTGTAGGAGAGCTAAGAAAAAGAAAAATCATCGAAATTACGATTACACCAAACTATTAAAACAAATGAAATTAATATGACACTAATCATGTAATCCCTGACAACTCTAACATTTCTACTCAATTTTTCATAGAGAAAAAATATAAATTATGTAATATACAGTGTAAAGACCTTACTCAGTTTTGTTACTTAATCTTGTCACTAATAAGCAACTTATTTAGCTTGTGCCGATTAAACCTTTCACTCATATAAATTACTTGCAGCTACGATGGATTTTCATTTAAAAATCTCAATTTATGGATTACAGAGTTTAGACAATAATTAGGTGTAAGTATTCAAATTATATCAATCAATCAATGAACAAAGAACTTATATGTATTTGAGTTATACGCCGATATTTTTCTTCAAACTTTTGTTTTCATTATCAGGTGTCGATATGAGATCATGTAAAAAAACTTGCCCCAGTAAATGAAAAACATTCAGCTACATAAGCAAAAACAAGCCGCTTAAAAGCGATAATTAACATGTATGCAATTTTTGATTTAAGAAAGATTTGTTTTAATATCACCATTTTTTTATAGTAAGCAAAAAATAACTTTTTTTTTACTAAAACTACATCATTAGAATGTGACAAATATATACAAGCTTGAAGAGAATGCACACATAAAAACCAAGCTTGATTAAGTTATTCTAATGAATTTTCAAAGACAGTTATATCTTGCAAAAGTAGTTTAAGTATCCTAGCGTTATTAGATTCTTTACTTATTAATAAGACAACCACAATGATCAAAACAATGTGCTTATGCCAAAGATTATCAGAGAGAGTGAAAGAGAGGGGAGATGAATGGAACATTATGAAGTCTATCAAACGTAAGTTAAATTATCAGCAATCACAAGTTATTCTTTGATGAATCAAGGTACATATATGGTTGTTAATATAACGAATAATGCGACAGATTGTTAGTTAATTATTTAAATTTGTTGAAATTAGACAATAATTACCTAAACGCCTTGTAGGCTACCGATTGTTTGCATGATGATTAAACTAGATGAAGCTGTGAATCTATGTGACTGGTAGCAAGCTACTCATTCTTTTCCATAATACATGTTTGAAAGATAAATATGTTGATGATTATGAAATGATAGATCATATAAAATTTATCATATATTAATTTACAACCAAAACAGAGGCATAAACGTTAAAACCGGTATTTTCCACACAAAAGGTGCTCATTTTATTTCATCGGAGAACATAAACCACCTACTTTGATCTATTATCTTGAGGATTTTTGGAGAAAATTAAATCCTTAGTAGATTCTTTGGCCAAATCCCACGCTTCTTTGAACTGCTCTAAAACATCGTCCATTACACCACGTTCTTTACCCACATGCCAATCATCAAAATTACCCAACCTAGGCGGGGGTAGGTCTGATTTATGTTCGGATATTGTCACTCTAGATTTGGCACGCGATTGAAATGTAAAGTTTTTGGATGCGTAAGTTTCTTTATCATAGTCATCAAGTGAATCACTTCAAATAACATAAGAATTCATGTAAAGCACACGCATATACATATATATGTAAGTACACAATGGATGAAATATGTTGGACAGCAAAATAGCCAAGCATGAATTTACAATGAAATACAAGGAGCGGAAAGCAGAACAAAAGGATAAAACATATAAGCACACAAAGCAGAAAAACAATGGTCCAAGAACCAAATTATACAGTAAGCATTCGCATATATACATATATAGAATTCCAAAAGGATAGGGGGAAAGAAAATAATAAGAAACAATTAGTGACACGTAGTAATAAATGACATGTTTAATACTCTAATTAGCGTGATTGTGTAACACTATAACAAAATACAGAGTAGTAAGTTAAAAGATACTTTTACCACAAAATTCTGGAGATATTCAAAATTTACCGCCGTATGTAGTTACCCTCTGACAGTAAGTATTCGCAAAACCCTCTCCCGACCCAAACAAACCAGTAGATATAAAAGGTTTGCGCAAGCGCACAATATTAGCCAAAGGTAAACACTTGGAGATATTTAGCGTATTTTGAAAATATTCACCTAGTACTCCTTAGTCGTCTCTAATTTATTGAAACAAGTATAGAAGCGATAAAAATCTGTATGGAATAAATCACGTCTAATTTCTTAAGAGTTTTACAGATTTTATATTTCCGACTAAACGTTTATTAGAAATTACATCTATATTATAGCATAGAAGCCAACTAGGTATTTAAATTAATAACGTAAATACGAGGATGAACAGCGATGAATTGAATTTTAGTGGCATATATAAATAAGGACGGAAAATTTTGAGGAAAGAACGAAATTACTGAACAATTTACCAGCAGTTAGTACATAGCTTACGAATGGTTGATATTATTTGATTACGACATAATATATCATGCACGCATCAACTGATTATATATATGATGCATGTAACTTGACATTAATTCTTGTTTAGACTAACAAAGGTAAGGATTTCGTGAAAAGAGTGAATTCATTCATCTGAGAGGAGATAGCAGCAAGTTACTTGGCATAACATCTTCATCTTAATTATTAGGGTCATAAAGCACATTGCTAACACTACTTATTATGGTATCTAACGTCTCATAAGGATTTATAGAAATCAATATTTAATCCCTCATAAATCTCATCTTATATCAATATGGATTTATTCAACCCGACCGTTGCTGCTACCTTGACGTGGTGATCGGGCTTGCATATCGTGATGAACCAATCGAGCTATGTTGGCTGGAACAACTGCTCCTCAAGGTCCTAACATGCCAGATAGGTCGGTTGAAGAGCGGTAAGACTAAAAGTAGCAAAACCAAGGTCTGAGGACGATGTCGTATTGATGATTGTAAAGAAGTGTAATGGCAGTAAGGTGTTCCCTTCAGACAACCAGCATAACAGCGATGCTGTTTTCCCACAAGGAGGGGTAGGGTTAGAAAAGGTCGAGCCTAAAAATGCACACCTCGCCTTATCCCACGGATATTCGTCTCCGGCAGTAAGGTCTCAACAAGTATGGAGCTAACACGAAAATTACTCATAAAAGGTCGTTTGTGACCGACCTCAAGCAGTTGTCCCTTGGGCACTGCGGTCACGCTCTCAGGTCACTAAGACCACCTTTAATCCAATTTCCTTTTCAGGTACCTCCAGAACAAACCTTCCACGGTGTGGGCAACCGGGGTGAGATAACCGCCCTCATACTTCTAACAACACTCAAGATCACTTACCGACTGTATTTATTCACAAAACAAACAGTTAGTGCCGAAACACATAAGTCATTATTTAGACACTTTGTCTTCAGTGGAATTTCAAAGAGCTAGCTGCAATATTTGACAGAATATTTGGTATAACGATAACTTACGATCTTTGACCGTAATCTCCACCATTCTTATATGAAGAATAACCCCAATCTAAATCATTGGTATTTCCATAACCTGTGTAAATGTGTCGACTAGCCTTGGCCTTTTGACGTTCGTGCTGTAACTTTTCTGAGTCTTGTATGAGGTCGATTACTTCTTGAACTCTGATGCGAACTATAATATGAATGATAATTTCGAATAAATTGAGCATTGGGTTGATTGTTATAAATAAAAATAATATATTTGTAATATCCCAATGAGTAGAAAATTGGATTTTCTGACGTTTCGTGGCTTAGTGTAAGTCACTTCTTCAGAGAATAAATAACCAAATTAAATTAATCCACGTTTAAATAGTACTATTTAAATTGTACTATTTAAACGTGGATTAATTTAATTTGGTTATTTATTCTCTGAAGAAGTGACTTACACTAAGCCACGAAACGTCAGAAAATCCAATTTTCTACTCATTGGGATATTACAAATATATTATTTTTATTTATATAATATGAATGTTTTAAATTAAAACTAAGGTATATGGAAAAAGAGCGCTTATATACTGAACAAAGTATAACATAATAACACAGCAATAGCATTAAGCACATCTGTTTTTGAAATAAAATTAACTGTTTCTTATTTTCATTCTGCGAGATGTTTTCAACATACATTAGACTTTCACCACATTATGTCCATCTTTTGTCACTTAGTTGGAGGACCCTGATATTTACATGTAACCACTAAGTAATTATACAAGTAGTGTCGCTATGTATAGATGAACGAAGAAAACATGTACTTCGTAAACTCTTCATGAAAACCGTCAAACGAGTGATGAATCAATCTGAGATCTGAACTTTTACTGTGAAAAACACTGGTTTACGAAAAAACTTTATTTCCTTTGTAACTAAGGTATTTTTCCTCAATATACACAATACTGCATTATCAACCAGCTTAATTTATCTACAATTTACAGAGAATTGAAAGTCATTCATTCAATTCAGAATTGAACCTTGGCAGCAATTTGGTTTGAGAACTGTCACAGAACTAGGCCACTCATTACAACATAAGATATCCATGAAGTTTTTACAACTAATTATCTTAGGTAACATTTAAGAGAAAATAGTGACTTATTAATCCAGGATAGCATGAATGAATTAGAAACATCATAAACTATTCATGATATTTATTTTATTGGCTGTTTATATAGTTGATGTGTTCGAACTTTCAAAGGGTTTAAAACAATGTACATTTTCGTCTCCTTAGTAACGTAAGAAATTTTTAATCAACTGCAATCACATTATTTTTTTATATTACCGAGAATACTGAAGATAAATGCAATTTGAGCGACTAATTTTTCCTCATTGTTCATATTTTAATCTTTCAAATAATTTTCCGTTGCATAAAGAGTACATCAAAACCATTGTTAAGGTGAGAATCTTCCAACAAAAATGATAGCAAGCACACATTATACGAGAGTGTTTAAAAACAATTGCACGGTGCCCTGGTACGGCCGAGGAGGGGAGAGTCAGCACTTCCTCGAGAAATGCCCTCTCATGGCCATATGCATACAACTACTGTTACGGAAGTCCTACTCACTACTTTCTCACGGCATGACTGTTGTTTAATTTATTTGAACATATAAATATTGGTAAAAGATGGCACCAAATATATATGCGCCACACAATGATGAGAATGGGAAGACTTAAAGGACGTAAGCTGTGTGTAAAAAAACAATAATGACCACAAATTAGTGTATGGTAGTGAACTAGTAATAATAATGAGGAAAACAGAAACGTATAGTCAGAAGAGATCTTTCAGTTAAGGAAGATACAACCACTCTTTATGAGGGAAGTAGAAGGTAACAGCACGATCGCCACTGACTTCTATTCTGAGCCATATCTGATAACGTCTCTAGCCAATGTGTTACACCATCTCTTGTACCCCAGCCAGGGAGTCGTGAAGAACCAACAGAAGCCAGCCCTTTGCAGCTTTCTTTCATACCCCGACACTATGTCATACACTGACCACCTCTCCGCTTTTTCCAACCAGTCCCAGAGTCGGTAAATAATGCACGACGTGGAATTCTCTGGGACGAAATTCGTAAAACATGTCCAAGCCGCCGAAGTTGGTGTTTCAAGATGGTGACACCAATTGCATTATCGTCTCTGTGCCCGAACACACGATGCCGAACCTCTGCATTACCAACATGGTGTTACCATTAGATGTCAGCAATCCTTCAGAGACAACGATGATCAAACACAGAGGGTCGTCTAACATCCTCAACTCGGAGAGGCCAGGTTTCACAAGCATAGAGCAGAACTGCTCTCACCGACGCGTTGTAGATCCGACCTTTTACGGCCAGACTGACATCACGAAGGCGCCAAAGATGGCCCAGATTGGCATAAGCCGCTCTGGCCTTCACTATACGTGCGTTGATCTCATCACTCAGGCCACCACTAGCACTTATGCAGCTACCTAGATACACGAGCCTCTCGACTACTCCTATCTGCTCACCGTCCAGAGTGAGTGCAGGATTAGAATCCTGCCAGTCTTGTAGAAGTACTTTACACTTCGAAGGTGCAAAGCACATACCATACCTACGGACACTGGTTGCCAACTGATTAAGTGCGGATTGCATGGCTTGGGCATTATCGCACAGTAAGACAATATCATCCGCATACTCAAGGTCGAGAAGTATTGCTCCGGGCAACAAATCCACACCGCCGTTACTTACATTCATCAGGGCTATTTCCGGAATGTCATCGATGGTAAAGTCGAAGAGGAATGGTGAGATTGAGCAAACCTGTCTAACCCCACTGCTTGAGTGGAACAGTGGAGGGAGGTGGTTTTATGCCCTCAATCTGCCTGAGGTGCATGTTTATTTACTTATTTAAACACATAAACATTGGTACAAAGAGGCACCAAATAGATATACGCCACATAAATCACTCGATTTTTGTGAGGGCTGTAATACTGCCCGGGTGCCCAGACCGAAGCAGGTGGTTTTCTTAGGAGGCCACACCCCGGACCTTTGACCTAAAGGTCTAACCCACAAGGCAGTGGAGCATCGTGAGGAGATGCAGTCCCATGGTAGCCAGTGACCAAGATTGGTCCATATGCCATTTGTTCCCGCAGAATACTGGAGCCCATGTGCACCATTGGTTTGGAATCTGGTTAAAGCGCCGGACATTCGCTTTTCGTCCTCTCGATTTCGTAAACAACACCCCTGCCACGAGAAGGCAGTGAGTAGGACTTCCCTGGCAAAGGCTGTATACGCGTGACCGTGTGTGAACATCTCGAGAAAGAGGGCGGCCATACCAGGGCATTTGGAGGCGAGGTGCATGTATATAGAGCTTTTAGGATGTCAATAAACGTCGCAGTCACACCCTTTTTCAATATACAATCACAGAGTGCAGTGCTGTCCGACGAATCGAAGGCAGTCATGATATTAGGAAACACTACGATTGCTCGCCTATGACAAGTATGACGGTGATATGGTAAATACATCCTCCACCAGAACGAAAACCAGACTGCTCCTGGCGAGTCAATCATTCTCGGGTTTTGAACAACCTAAGGAGTACAACGAAAGCCAAAAGTTTGGAAGCAGTCAGTCAGTCAGCTAAAACGTAGGACCAGGCACATATATGCATCGGTCCAAGTTGCCATACCTCATTAAAACAACAAGATGAACACCGGATTCATAGAAGTCGTTAGGTCAATGGTCCCGAGCGTTGTTGCTACCTTGACGTGGTGGTCGGGCTTGCATATCGTGGTGAAGCAACTGAGCTATACTGGCTGGAACAACTGTTCCTCAAGGTCCTACCATGTCAGACAGGTTGGTTGAAGAGCGGTAAGACTAAAAGCAACAAGCCCAAGGTCCGAAGGCGAAGTCGTACTACTGACTGTACAGAGATGTGACAGCAGTAAGGTGTTTGCTTCAGACAACCAGCTTGACAGCGATGCTGCCTTCCCACAAGGAGGGGTGGGGTTAGAAAAAGTTGACCGTAAAAATGCACACCTCGCCTTATCCCACGGATATCCGTCTTCGGCGGTAAGGTCTCAACAAGTACAGGGCTAACATAAAAATTACCCATAGAAAGGTCGTGTGTGACCGACCTCAAGCAGTTGTCCCTTGGGCACTGCGGTCACGCTCCCGGGTCACTATGACTACCCCGAATCCAATTTCCTTTTCAGGTACCTCCAGAACAAATCTTCCACGGTGTGGGCAACCGGGAAGTGATAACCGCCCTCATACCTCTAACAGCACTCAAGACCACTGTATTCATAATCAACCTCCGTCTTCACTTTCTATTATTCCTCCTACATCGACTTTCAACTCTAAATTTTCTCTTTCAGCTTCCTCCTCAAGTGTCACCGTAGCCAACGATTCTGGTGCTTAAAACACTGTCCCATGTCTACTGAAACCTCGCTCCAAACTACACATTGGAGCCTTCAACGTACGCACCCTACATCAAATCGATCAACAGGCTTCCTTCGCTAGAACCCTAGAATCTCGTACCATTGGTGTATGCTGTGTCTCTGAAACACGCATACAGGATCCCAGTGTGGTCATTCCCTTGACCTCACCTCGACAAAACGGAGAGGCAACCAGATACACCCTCCGTGTATCTGGTGACGCGATGTCCAGCTCTCGTGGACTGGCAGGAGTAAGGATAGCACTAAGCATGAGGGAGGAACAAGCACTATTAGAGTGGATCCCCGTTAACAGTCGTTTACGTGCTTTTCGGCTAAACGGCTCCGTAAGAACTCGGAAGGATAGGGACACACGTCGTTGCCTTTTTATCGTTTCTGCATACGCTCCTACCGACTGCAGCTCAGATGAAGTAAAAGATGAATTTTACAGAAGAGTGACGACAAATCAGATCTAGGCTAACCAAAAGTCTAAGGAACGACCGTGAGCAGTGGTGGGTAACGAAAGCAAAAGAGATGGAAAAGGCGGCGACTATAGGGAACACAAGACAGCTTTACAGACTAATAAAAGAAACTGGAATTAATAAGTCAAGTGTAAGTGAGATTATTTCGGAAAAAAATGATACTCTCATCTGCTCCCAGTCCAGGCGTTTAGAACGATGGGCGGAACATTTTAGAGAACAGTTCAGCTGGCCTTCAGCTACTGTACAACTACCCTCTATTCCCAGACAGTGTGAATGGAACATTGAAGTAGGTCCCCCAACTCTTGCTGAAGTTCAAAAGGCTATAGTTAGTCTGAAACGAGGAAGGGCAGTTGGTCCAGATGGATTGGCTCCAGAGGTCTTTAAGGATGGTGGCCCAATTTTAGCGATTAGGTTGACTAATATTTTAGCTAAGATCTGGGAATTAGACTTTATCCCATCTGACTGGTCGCAATCACTTATCGTCCCAATATATAAGAGAGGGTCAAAATCATCCTGTGACAACCACAGAGGGATTAGTTTAACAAACATAGTATCTAAAATACTAGCCTCGATAATTATCAAACGCCTAACTAAGACTCGTGAACTACAAACTCGAGAGAACCAAGCTGGCTTTAGACCTGGTCGTGGCTGCATCGACCACATATTCACCATTCGTCAGGTTCTAGAACACAGGCATACCTATCGGCGTCCGACGATGGTGGTCTTTCTTGACTTAAAAGCAGCATTTGATTCTGTAGACCGCGAGACTCTGTGGCAGTGTCTGTCATTGAAAGGCGTACCTCAGAAGTACATAAACCTTGTGAAGGCTCTTTACTCGAACACTACTAGTCGAGTCAGAGCTTATGGCGAACTGTCATCTACTTTTGCAACTTCAAGTGGTGTCCGTCAAGGCTGTCCACTTTCTCCATTTTTGTTTAACTTCATCATAGACCTATTGATGGAAATAACTTTCTCGTCGACTGGGTTCTCGGGTATTGATCTCCTACCAGGAGGTCCACTTATCGACTTAGAATACGCAGATGATATAGTCCTGTTTGGTGAAGACACTGATAAAATGCAGAGTCTTTTGGTAGCACTAAGCATCAATGCCAGAATGTTTGGGATGCGCTTCTCTCCCTCTAAATGCAAGTTGTTGCTTCAGGACTGGTCTGCATCAACACCCGAACTAAGGATAGGGAGTGAAGTAGTTGAACGCGTTGACAACTTCACTTATCTTGGAAGTCTGATCAGCCCTAATGGGCTGGTGTCTGACGAAATCTCAGCACGGATTCGAAAAGCTCGTTTGGCGTTTGCCAACTTGCGTCACCTATGGCGAAGGCGAGATATCCGTCTATCAATAAAAGGACGAGTATACTGCGCGGCAGTCCGTTCTGTTTTAATTTACGGCTGTGAAACATGGTCATTAAGAGTAGAAGACACTCGTAAGCTACTAGTATTTGACCACACATGCCTCAGAAATATTGCTGGCGTTTGCTGAGGTTAGACGCAGGGTATTAGGGAATGGTGGTAAATCAGTCGATAAGGTTGTGAATCTTCATCGACTAAGATGGTTGGGTCACGTGTTACATACGCCCGAACACCGATTACCACGACGTGCAATGGTAACCGGTGTTGGAGATGGCTGTAAGAAAGTTAGGGGCGGCCAAACAAAAACGTGGCATCAGTGCTTGAAGACATTAACTTCTAGTCTGAGCCATGTTGGGAGATGCAGACTACTTGGTTGGGGTCCGCGTGACTATCGTAACCAATGGTTGGAGATTGTGGGTGACTTGGCTCAGAATCGATCACAATGGCGTCGGTGTATACACTCTCTATCTTTCCATAAACTAGGAGATTAAAATTGCTTCATATCTTTCTTTCTACGAACTAATTCTTTCTTCCTGTACTATATCCTTATACGCAATCTTTCTTTTATATATATTACCACCATTGACTTAAGTCAGTCAGTCGGCTACAACGTAGGACCAGGCACATATATGCATCGGTCCAAGTTGCCACACCTCATTAAAACAAGAAAATGAACACCGGATTCATAAAAGTAGTTAATTCAGAGGTGGTAATATATAAAAGATTGCATATAAGGATATAGTACAGGAAGAAAGAATTAGTTCGTAGAAAGAAAGATATGAAGCAATTTTAATCTCCTAGTTTATGGAAAGATAGAGAGTGTATACACCGACGCCATTGTGATCGATTCTGAGCCAAGTCACCCACAATCTCCAACCATTGCTTACGATAGTCACGCGGACCCCAACCAAGTAGTCTGCATCTCCCAACATGGCGCAGACTAGAAGTTAATGTCTTCAAGCACTGATGCCACGTTTTTGTTTGGCCGCCCCTAACTTTCTTCCAACCATCTCCAACACCGGTTAGCAATGCACGTCGTGGTAACCGGTGTTCAGGCCCCAACCATCCCAGTCGACGCAATCTGAAGTAAACCTATCCCACATAGTTGTTACAGAATCAACGTGAACCCTTTTTAAAGACAGGGAAAACTGTCGACTCGTTCCATAATGTCGGAAAACACTCTACCTCTCAAAGCTTTGTAAACAACGTAGTCAGTTCTTAAACCAGAGAGTCACCACCATCTTTAAAAAGAGCCGGAGGTAAGTCGTCTGAGCCCGAGGATTTGTAGCGTTTCAAGAATTGGGATTTCTTGCGGACTTCCGCCTCATTTGGTAGATCAGTCGTCACAGGCCATGGAGGACAGGACAGTCTGATCGATTTTGCCGAGGCAGCAAACCAGTTGAACTGCCCTTCAAAGAACTCTGCCCATCGTCCAAGATGTCGACAGATGTTGGTGGATGGCGTCAAGTCTTCCTCACAGATTGTTTCGCTCACACTAGACCTCTTGCTGCCAGTGGCCGGATGAGTTGAAAGAGTTTCCGGCAGTTACCAAATGCAGCTTCTGCTTCCAAATCATTGGTGTCCACCGACCATCAGGCTTCTCGGTCCTTAAGCAAGCTTTGCTCAACTTCATTACATAACAGTCGTAGTTTGTGGTCAAACTCGCGGTCACCCGGAGTAGACCGACGGGCCTCAGTGAGTTGTAAGGCGCCTGAAGAAACCCAATGCTTATAGGCTGGACGTTTCGCGAAGCCGCAAGCGACTTGACTTGCCGGACATTCGCTTTTAGTTCTCTCAGTTTCGTAAACAACAAGCGAAACTCCGACGCTTTAACCGAGTTGGTGGACACGTACGGTCTACCTAAGGGAGTTGGGAAACCCTGATTCCAAACCATGGTGCACATGGGCTCCAGTATCCTGAGAGAGGAAATGGCGTATGAACGAATCGTTCGTCACCGGCTACCATCGGACTGTATCTCCTTACGATGCTCCACTACCTTGTGGATCAGACCTTTAGGTCGAAGGCTCACGATGTGACCCCTCAAGAAAACCACCTGCTTCAGTTTGGGCATCCAAGTAGTATCCCAGCCCTCACATAAGTCATTCGATCTATGTGGCGCATATCTATTTGGTGCTTTCTTATACCAACGTTTGCGTTTAAGTAAAATAAAGGTCACTCACGGTAGCACTAGGACATACGAATTAACAGTAACATTCGTGACTAACAAATACTAAATACACGATAAGTCGTATCATTCACCAGTTTTAACAGCTTGATTGTGCTTTACTCATATTTAGATTTCCTTCTGCAAGTTATCATATAAAAATCTGATAATATATAAACACGTTATGGAGTACTGAACAATCGCTTACCATTCATTCCTTGATCCTTTCCATTCTCATCAAAATAACGAAAAGATTCGAGCGTACGAATGTCGTATATATGATCTTGAGCACTTTGTAACACATAATCAGAACCATTCTTCAAAAGAAAGGTAAGGACAACCAAAGACTACAAGTAAAAAATAAAACGAAACGTTTGGACTAGTACTGAAATTTCACTGTGAAATTTTTTAAATAAATTGTAACAATAAATCGGAGTGGTATTGCATCATAAAGTTGTAGATCTATTAATTCCCACTATGGAAGGAACCTTAGTGGTCTGTATTGTAACACCAAAAACTATTCAGATAATAATAACATTGTGAAATTAATACAGAAATACATCAAGTCAGAAAGCTGGCAGGTCAGTTAGTGTACGTTATTATGATGACAGATTGCTTAATGTGGTAGCTACTGACAGATTTCAATCTGGATATTTTGAAAATTATCACGAGTCAGTTAAAAAATTCATCAAATCAACTACTTAAACAAAGACATATACAAGGATAATTTCAGCAATTGTTTTTAACAAGATAAATAACCTGATCAATAGACATATATCCAATTATCACACAGAAACAAATTCACTGAGTAGTGTGAGTTAAATAGAAGATTCTATGCAAACCTTAAAACACTAGCACAAAAACAAACATATTATCCCCACCGAGTAGCCACATGCTTCTGTGTGTAAGATTGTATCCAGTAAACTTATGAACCTTCACACTTAAGTAATTTCGTTACGAATTATTCACAATGTCATATCTTGATGAATTTTGACGAAAAGCCTAGTTTCAAAAACTGCGAGGATCCAAATTAAACGTTCTTTGACAATTCTACCAAAACGAGTAACCCATGTTACATATTTCAATCCTAGTTTAAGATTATCAACAGTGGCTTAGTGGCTAAACCATATGACTTTAAACTACTGAGTTGTAGGCTTAAGAACATGTTGCCTGCGAAAATTCCGGTAGCTGAATAGCATCACTAGGACAAAGAAGGTATAACATAATCAAACATAATGAATTATACTCGGTCATCTCATTTCCTTATCCCCCAAGTTTTGAAGAATGATAACTAAATTGTCATGAATTACCCTTACTTTCGTATGTTTATCCCAACATCATAATATTTGACGGGCGTGAATTTGAATAACGTTGATAAGAGCTGGGTTTTAAGTACAGGTTGTGCACTAATTACACAATCGTCGTCTCAGACAACTTGCTAGAATTTCCAGTATTATATATGTTTAAGAAAATCCTTTGGTTTGGAGCTTTTTGTTTGATTTACACTTGTTTTCGAAATTACAAATTCGACAGCTGAATAAAGAAACACACCCACATATGCAACATATGTAGATCTCAAAGTTTTAGACTAAATCCCATACTTCGGAACGTAGCCGAAAAGTTTTGGAATCGAAAGCACATTTAGAAAATGGACTAAAAACGTTGTCAGTGAAAGAGACTAGAGAGTGAAGGTGAGTGATCCTAACAGGAAACAGAAAACCAACAAGTGATACACTATAAACTACGCTTGTTATTGTTAAGAATTGAAAAATTGTCATAAATCATTACCTCGAAATTACAGATAAATCCAAGGTGAAATCTACCGAAGCTTTGAAAACTCAAGATCTCTTCGTTAACTTTGGAATCTACACAAGATAGTCCAGCACCTGGTAGTTAACATACATCAGGCAGACCTGGATTATGAGATTTGAACAGAGTTTAGGTCCTGAATATGAGGTAAATGTGCCAAAACAGGTTCAAGGGGCATAAACCCAAATGTTGAAATGGCGTAACTGCTTTGCATACAAAGAAAGGGTGAGACACTAATTCTACCAAAAGCTTGTTGTGGGTTGATATGGCCTTAAGTTGGGTTACCGTCTATCCATCAATCATCATGGTGTCAATTATTACTGTTCCGTTTATCTAGAACTGGTCATCAAATTGTTCCCTGGAAATTCAAAAATCGAGATCGAGTCGGTTACACACGTAAAGTGACTAATTAACTTATCCTGCGTACATATGATGTTGTGGCTACATCAGACACAAGCTCACCATAATCTGACGACATGAAATATTGTAGCTCACTGATAAGACTAGTGGACAACCCAGGTCATAATTTAGCAAGGCCAAAATTAAGTAAGGTAAGGTCAAATGACATATGAAGTGTGATAAAAGTAAAATCAGCTTCAGGATTTCTATTACCAACATATTTTGTTGCGTTTAGGCTTGACGATTTACTGTTTGGCTCTACAGTTTCAGTAGATTTCTATAATTTATATGGCTAAAATGTGGCAAACTTTGCTGACATTGTATCGAGATTAATGAGTTATATTGCCTACGAACTTATTTGCACACGAGAGACACCTTGAACACATTTAAAAGACATTGTGATGAATGAAGCTCCCTTTTCAAATATACATGCCTTATAAACCCTTCGCCAACTCAATCTATCTTCAGGATGCATTCTTTTCCATAAAGTTGACATGACTTCCAAGCATGTTTCATAGGTATACGTATAATCTGCCAACTTTTGTAAAAGACGACCACTTGGACAACACATATCATCATTAGTTGCATCTCGAACCTTCATTTCCGCCTCCGTGTAATTCATCATTATATTCGTTCTTCTAAAGTAATTTTGAATGAACAGAACCTACACTTTGTCAGCTAATTCCTTTCCCTTATATATTATATCCCGCAGCATGCCTCAATTTTAACATCGAAAACACCTCAGAAAGCAGTTTGAATTACTGCGCTGCCAACAACTAACAGATTTTAGTATACACAAACAAATTACGAATTGCATTATCGTGCCTTAGAATACTAAACATTATGTCACCACTACTAATCTCGCTCATGAATCTGTGACAGATTATTTAGCTGTTCAATGATTAGTGAAAAATTGATTTCATCAAAGAAAAAGAATATATTTGTAAAAACTCAGCGTAAGAATTTGAAGTAAATCCAACGTTTCGCCTGGCATTCTGGTCCAAGATTTTTCATTTGTTGCCTACTCGACAAGAAAATTGATAGCTAGCTGACAATTAGTTCGCTCACAGTTTATGGACTTTTTTGGAGTGTTTTCGTAAATTCTCTCCTTTGGTCTTACCTACCTACTTACTTACTAACTTACACCTGTCACTCCTCGGGAAGCAGCGTAGACCGCCCACTAGCATTCACCATCCATCTCTGTCCCGAACAATCATTTTCAGTTGTTTACAGTCCTTATGCATCATTTACATGTCTGCTTCCAATTCCAGGGGAAATGCATTTTTTCAGACTTCCTCTTTCCGTTTCCCTTCAGGATTAAAACTAAGCCCTCGCCTCGTGATGTAGTTCGATGTTTTCCTCAAAGCTCGTCCTATCTACTCCCAGAATCTTCCTATTTTCCTCTTCAGCTGGGAGCTGGTTTTTTCACTCTCACACCAGGCTGTGCCTGAAAGCACTTGATAAACAGATAGTCAGTATCTGGCGTAGACAATGGGTTATAAATACATGAAAGATTTTTATGGTTGCAGTAGTAACTGAAGATTTAGCTCCGTACTATGGAACTGTCTTAAGTTTGAACTGAATATTCCGACTTTGATATTGACTGACACCTGTTTTGAGTTTCAGATACTTTTCAACTATAGGAATACTGTCCCTAATTTGCCAATCCTCCTTTTTCATCGATACGTACACACACGCTATTTAAAAAGGACAGTGGTATTTTTCCTCGCTGAGTAAATTTCATTGTTTTGATCGTTTATTACGTATCAAGACTACTGTTTTTCACTTTAATTGAATTTATTTCAGTTAAAGTATTCGACTAAAGTATCGTTTTTACTGTTTTGTCGTTGGTACTCTTTAGTACCACTTTTTCAACTGTATCTGTTAGTACTTTTGGTCCTAGCAATCTACAGCTCTTCACTTTTTTGGTCATTGATAATTTTTTTGTTTCTGGGTATCATCGCATATTGAAAAAACCCCTCCTAAATGACCGGACAGTGTAAAAAAAGCAGTTGCCAACGTCCGGGTTGTCGTTATCCTGTTGAAAGCGGCATGCAGTGCGACGAGTGCAAAGGCTGGTACCACGAAGTTTGCACGAACTTAACGCCTGCTGCTTTCAAACGGTTCAGTAAGAAGGGTTGTGTGTGGCTTTGTCAACAGTGCTGCTCGGATGCAAACAGCTTGTTAACCGAGGCTATCTCACTGGTTGATGCTGCCAAGAAGTGTTTCAACAAGCATAGTCGGAACGCGTCAAACAGCACTCGATCTGTTGACACGCAAATCAATGTGAAGGAAACTAAGGTGAGTCCGGTGATAGATGACTCACGCCCGTCGAAGAAGGAAAAGCAGTCTCCAAAGGGGTCTGCCTTAAAAAAAAGCTCAAGAAAAGCAGGGTCTTCTGTTCCCCGTCTCCCAGATGGGATCCAACAGGAAACACCTAGGAGCTGCAATCGCAAGGCTCGATCGGTTTCGAATGGTAAACATAACACGACCCCTCAGGTCGTCGACAACCCCCCAAAACCCAAAACTAGTTTTGACGCAACTGCTATTGCTTCTACCAGCAGCGTTAACGAATGGGTAAAGGTTGTAAGGAAGAAAAGTATTGATATAAAAGGGAAACCTGCCCCCGTAAAACTGGTTGAAAAATCGAAAGCTGATCATAGCGACAGATCAGCTATTTTTCATAGAATTAAGGAGAGCGATAGCTCTGAACCTAAAGCTCGTTTTGAGCATGACATTGTACTGATTAGGCAGCTGCTTAATCAACTCATGCCTCAAAATATGACTGGGGTCACCTTGCTAAAGGTGTATAGACTAGGGAGTCTAACGGACTCGAAACCAAATCATTCCAGAATGCTTAAAGTAGTATTCGGCTCTTCAAACGAACGTGACCTAATTTTACGAAATGGACACAAATTAAAGGGTTCGGGAGTCTTTATCCGAAAGGACCTACCGTTGGCAGACCGTGTTAAAAGACGGGAAGCCGAGAAAGAACTACAACATAGGTTAGACGCTGGCGAAAAGAACCTGAAAATTGTAAATTTTCGGGTTGTAAGACTTCGACAGAGAATGATGCCGAAGCCACTCTGGGTGAAGCACGAAGGCACCTAAACAGGCTTCAGATCTGTTACACCAATGCGCGAAGCTTACTTAATAAGCGATCGGAACTAGGTGTACAGATTGACTCTATAAAGCCAGATATAATCGCAGTAACAGAAACCTGGCTGACACAGGCTATAGATAGTATAGAACTTGATTTCGAGGGCTTTACGTTAGTAAGGGCCGACAGAACACAAAAGCGCAAAGGAGGGGGAGTAGCTCTATTCATTAGGAATGCTATCCCATTTACCATTATCGATAGTGTATCCCATGAGAGTGGGACGTGCGAATTAGTTAGTCTTCGCTTAAAATGCAAGGGACAAGAGCTGCTGATTGGTTTGGTCTATCGCAGTCCAAGCTGTGAGGCAAATGAGATCCTGTTAAGCAGTCTCAATACTTGGTCCCAAAGTGGTCGATGTCTAATCCTAGGGGACTTTAATGCACCAATGGTAGACTGGGAAAATCTGCGAACTGAATCGTCAGAAAATTCTTTTGAGCAGGAACTAGTTGATGCGGTTATCACATGTGCCCTAGTGCAACATGTGAAAGAAGCGACTAGGTACGACCCGGACACTGAATCATCCTTATTAGATCTTATACTGACTCACTATGAGGATGATGTTGCGAACCTCCACCATATGCCACCCTTAGGTAAAAGTGACCACGCAGTCTTAACTTTCGACTTCCATATAACTGCCAGTCATGAGGACGCGTCAGTCCAGTCCAGACCCAACATCTGGAAAGCAAACATACCAGACATCATGCACTCAGCATCGTTAATAGATTGGACAATAGACCCAGAGTCCTCCATTGAAACGGCCTGGGACACATTTCGAAAATCATACTTAAAAGTTACCACACCTCACATCCCTTGGACTATACCAAAGGGGCCGAAAAACTCACCACCATGGTTCAGTAGGGAGGTCCGTATCCTTCTCCGTAAGAAAAGGAAAACGTGGGATAGATTTAGGTTACTGGGGACTGATGAGTCAAAATCTCAGTATCGAAAGGCTCGGAACACTTGTGCCTCGACCCTCCGTAAGTCTAGAAAATTGTACGAAGAAAAACTTGTTAAGGAATCCATAGAATGTCCTAAACGCTTGTATTCCTATATAAACCAAAGGACAAGGAGAAAAGGAAATATTCCTGCTCTATGGGGAGACAGTACTGCTTCATCATTAGTGGAGGACGACTTTGGTAAGGCTCAAGCGTTCTCGAACTACTTTAGCAACGTGTATACCATAGAAGCGCCCTTCTCGTCAGCGTATACAGATCCCCCCATACATACACTGGATAGCGTGACCATTAAAGAACTCGATGTCTTTGGTCTGCTAAATAAGCTTGACGTAGGTAAATCCACGGGGCCCGATGAATTACATCCTAGGCTACTGAAGGAATTATCTAACTTCGTTGCGAACCCTTTAAGTACATGCTTTAACCTATCCGTTACGCAGGGTCGCTTACCGAAAGATTGGAAAAACGCCATAGTAAGTCCTGTCTTCAAAACAGGAACGAAACACAAACCTGAGAACTACCGCCCCGTTAGCCTAACTAGTGTGGTTGTTAAAATATTAGAAAAGATTATTCGGAAGGAGCTGTTTAAGTATCTCGATAAAAACCGGATCCTCTCGGAGAAGCAGCATGGCTTCAGAATAGGTTATTCTTGTCTCACTAACTTATTAGTGGCTCGTGAAAGCTGGTGTGCTCTTAAGGACCAAAAGCTACCTGTAGACGTCGCCTTCATTGATTTCAGTAAAGCTTTTGATAAAGTTCCGCACAACCGGCTGTTATATAAGTTAAGAAATGTCGGGATTGGAGGTAATTTATTGATGTGGATAAAAGACTTCTTAGTTGGGCGTCAACAAAGAGTAAGGGTGAACTCAAAGTTATCTAGCTGGGAAACTGTGCTTAGTGGAGTGCCCCAGGGTACAGTTTTGGGGCCAGTGCTATTCCTCTTGTATGTAAATGACCTTCCTTGTCTCCTATCATCATCGGTCTTGCTATATGCTGACGATGTCAAGATATGGAGAACGATACGATGTAAGAGTGATAGCTTAGAACTTCAAAATGACCTGAAGAAGTTATCTGAATGGTCTCAAACATGGCAGTTGCCGATAAATACTTCCAAGTGTGTTGTGATGCATATCGGTCATCAAGGCACAGATACATACACGATGAATAACACTGAGCTACCTGTCGTCCAGACATATAATGACTTAGGAGTTATCGTTAGTCAAGACTTAAAGACTACTGCACACTGCCGTGCAATAGCCGCCAAAAGTTTTAGAACGTTATGGTCAATACGTAGGGCTTTTAGTCATGTCGACACTAAGACGTTTTTGACTTTGTATACAGTGTTCGTTCGTCCTAAACTTGAGTACTGCATACAAGCGGCTAGCCCCTGCTTTAAAAAAGACAGAGAGCTTCTGGAAAAGGTTCAGAGAATGGCGACTAAGCTGGTTCCCGCAATAGCGAAGCTTCCGTATGAATCTCGACTGGCCAAGCTGAACCTTTTCCCGTTGTCATATCGCAGAACTAGAGGCGACTTGATTACAGTCTACAAATTGCTTAGTGATAAATTTGCACCTAACATGCCCTCATTTTTCTTGTCTTCCAAAACAGAGAATTTACGAGGACACTCCAAAAAAGTTCATAAGCCGAGAACAAATTACTTGTCAGCTGACTATCGACTTTCCCATCGAATCATCAACGAGTGGAATTCACTACCTCAGCACGTGGTTGAGGCTCCATCCGTCGACTCTTTCAAAAGAAAGTTGGATCAACTGAGAGACCACCATTGCCAGGACTTACATAGGCCATCGAGCCTCCTGTCCTTCCCAAACTGAAACTGAAACTGAAACTGATAATAGTGTCCATGCTTAAAGACTGCGACCAAACAAACTCAGAATAAGATTTGGTTTCCTCGTCTAGTGGCTAATAACTAGATTACCCTATACAAACATGTGGTATAAACCGACTGGAATTTAGGTGCACTGACGCCTATATTCACACCGACACTCCTCAAGGATCGTCCCTAAATTTACCCTTTTTTGTTTATTTGCGCTAATAATGAACACTCTGAACAAGAAGCCACATCTTCTCTAGGAAGCGAGTAACAAGTAATAACACAGGTTAAACAGTCTACTCTCTTTGCAAATGAACAGGCAACAGAAGAATTATCGCGGGATCAAAATAACACAAGGTTGCGACTGCGCGACCTTGAGACTGGAGTTCCTTACATTTCAGTCCTCAACAGAAATTGTAGGTCTAGTAATTTCCGTCAATTTGGGTGTATTCTCAGGTTGATTTTGAATTGCCCCACAGAAAGCTGATCTCGGTTGCAATCGTAAAAAGTTGTAATCATAAAAAACACTGGCTATGATACGTGTTGCAAGTGTGTGCTAAATTTATTTCATGTGGACTAAATACAATCTGTTGTAAAACAAATGATCAATCAAAACACCGGAAAAATTAGCTTCTGATTATTTTCATCTCAGGGCACCACCTAATATCTGCTATCCCAAGCTGCCAATTTTGAGGAAAATTTGGTCCATTTTGTGGAAGCCGCTATAGTAAATTCTGGGGAAATGAGACGCAAACCCCAAAATTTCCCCGAACGTTTGGGAAGGCTATTTCACTTAGGGGATTTCCCCAAAGTTGGCCGCTTGGAATATTTTAGGTAATGACTTATAATACATGGAAATTTCCGAGAACTATCGATTGCTTAAGTAATCGACAAAGAGGAAATAAGGATGACATTTCGTCAAAAAAATGAACAGGAGATACCTCAAAATGTCTTCTTTCTCCTGTCATAAGGATATAGTGTGAAATCTTCCCTTTTTGTCGCCTTATGTTTGAACTATCCACGAGTCGACTACTTTTTGCTTAAACACACCCCAAATGCCTTCTGTTGTCCTCTTCATGTCTGTTATGAAACAAGCGTCAAAAGACATAAACTGCTGTCGACTTGATTAGAAAATTACACATGATTAAAGACATTTATAGGAAATAATACTATAGTTTACAAGAAGATTGATAACGAGCAGATGCTCGTTACGATCAAGCCTGTCAAATAAGCACTGTCGAATACCGTTTTTATTGCTATGTGCACAAATGATGATGTCAAGTTGTAAAACAAAACAATAGTGGAAAATGGCTATCCTTAAATTTATGAATAGATGAAGAGTTTATGATATAGTAATACATACTATAGTCTTGGCAGTAAAACTCCTGTCTGTATCAACTTGTCATTTGAAGGTTATTCAAATAGCTTTTTACTGAACCAAAGGCTTGAATCAGTTGTTAACAGGCTGCATTACGCGGCAAAGGTCCTTATGAAGGAGAAAACATGGTCCATGCTTCACCAAAAAACTAAAAGGCACGAAAACAATTGCGTCACATGCCACTGTGTTTATCAATTTAAATGTTTGTGTGGTCACATACATAAGGAGAAGTAATCGTGATTTCAAAATTAGGGTGTGAACATGTACCTAAATATTTTTCAGAAACAAGTAGAATGAAGTAACCCAGTGAGAATACAGGATTAACATCTATCATCCTCTGTTGCCAAACACGATTGAAACAGGCCATAAAATTGATCCTAACTCGATTTTCGTGTTGTACAAAAGTGTAAATAGGCGTTTGCTGAAAAAATTGTCTCTTGGCCAGGACATTGCATTCATTTTTGCAAACTTCCAAACAAAATAACAATTACCAGTAGAAATAAGTGAGAACAATGATTGAAGTGTTAAAGGATCTGTTTAATTACCTATGATACCACATGTGTATTGGCGGTTTATAAAACAGCCTCACAATCAAGTAACCCAAAATCCTCTTACCCAACATGAGTAAGTGGTCAATGTTGTGTTTTAAATCAATGATCTATGAGACGGTTACCATTTTACGAAAATTTGAAGGTTTTATTTTAGTTGGATAAATATTTACGTTTATGTTCATTTTTACAAAAGCTTTGTAAGACTGGAATTTTCCCGGGTCCGGTTTTTTTCCAAAACCACTTAGAAGAGACCCAGAATTTGTAGCATGGAAAGTATAACATCATAATTTAGAAACAAAGTTTATTTTAAGTAGGGTTTAGTAGGTTTGCTATAAAATGCAAAAGTCCTTGGTTTCTATTTCGGATTCAAAGGCTTTATCTGATTGTATGTATTAGTCTCATTCCTTTGATTTTTGTGGCTTCGTTCATAAGGTTTATCGGATTTTTAAAAAGATTTTAACTTACAAATAACCATTCAATAAACCGATTAACGTGACAAGCGTATTTATAGAAATCTCAGAGAACACTGGAAACGATTCTTTTTCAAAACACACCGCTTGTTACATAGTCCATAGCATGGATTTAAAAACGGTTTGTCATTCTCCGTAAACCTTCCATTCGCAAAACAAAGCGGGGTGCAGTCCTTAGGAAGTTGAAAATCGGTAGATTTAATTCTAATCGACTTCGGCAAAGCTTTTTACAAGGTTCCACATACTAGGTTTCTATTAAAGATGAGAAGCATAAGAATCTCCAAATACCCTTTCAGTTATAAATAAATAAATAATGTATTTGTAATATCCCAATGAGTAGAAAAATTAGATTTTCTGACGTCTCGTGTAAGTCGCTTCTTCAGAGAATAAATAATCAAATTAAAATTAATTCAAGTTTAAATGGTACAACGGAACAATAAGAATAATATGTACATATTACACTTACACTAAGTCACGAAATGTCAGAAAATCAAATTTTTTTACTCATCGGGATATTACAAATATATTATTATTTATTTATAACAATCTACCCAATGCTCAATTTATTCGAAATTATCAAATCAAACCTTGGTAATGGTACCTACCCTTTCAGTTAGACTAGAGGTTTTATAACTCCCCGATAGGACGTAAAATTGACTATGAACTCTTCTCTTGAAAGTGAGATACTTCAAAGCTCAGTACTAGGTCGACTGTTTTTGCTCCATTATACTAAAAAAATTCCAAGTATCAGCGAACATCCGATGTTATATTACACTGGTGACAAAAAATACACAGGAGTAGCAGATAATGAAATTGTAAGTGGACTTCAAACTGACGTGATGTCGTGATAAGATGGTAAAAAACGTGGCTAATGTTCATCAGTACAGACATGTTTCCACCCTCAATAGAGGCCCAAAATGCACCAATTAGAAAACTGAGGAAATATCCCCCTCTTAGTCCTAACTCACATTAATCAATCAGTCAATAAATTATGACATGATAACCATAGTTCACTTCCACTCTATCGCATCCAAAGGTTGCAGAACAGTATAGATGTTGAGTCAATCTTTCACAAATTTGAATAAAACGTATATTCATCACACTTCTAATAGCCTTAGTAAGGTTCAAAACGGAAAAATGTGTACAAATTGAGTCCCTATTCAAAAGACGACTCTGAGTTTCTCAAAGAAACAAAGGACTTCTAAGTAGCCTTATGTGGCTTAAGAAGTTAGACCTGTTAGAATCATATTACTACAGATGAAAAGGTGACAGTCATTACGTTACAGAATCAGTTTTCGTGCAGAGCTGGTCCCACCATTTCCAATTTTTTTTAGTCCGAGGCAGAAACTGCAGACCCAGCATACTTGAAGTTTTGTCATCCGATGAACAATCCCCCGAATGCCCTGGTATGGCCGAGAGTGGGGTGGGCCCGCCCTCTCTCGAAATGCTCACACACGGTCACGCATATACAGCCTCTGCCAGGGAAGTCCTACTCACTGCCTTCTCGTGGCAGGGGTGTTGTTTACGAAATCGAGAGGACGAAAAGCGAATGTCCGGCGCTTTAACCAGATTCCAAACCAATGGTGCACATGGGCTCCAGTATTCTGCGGGAACAAATGGCATATGGACCAATCTTGGTCACTGGCTACCATGGGACTGCATCTCCTCACGATGCTCCACTGCCTTGTGGGTTAGACCTTTAGGTCAAAGGCCCGGGGTGTGGCCTCCTAAGAAAACCACCTGCTTCGGTCTGGGCACCCGGGCAGTATTACAGCCCTCACAAAAATCGAGTGATTTATGTGGCGTATATCTATTTGGTGCCTCTTTGTACCAATGTTTATGTGTTTAAATAAGTAAATAAACATGCACCTCAGGCAGATTGAGGGCATAAAACCACCTCCCTCCACTGTTCCACTCAAGCAGTGGGGTTAGACAGGTTTGCTCAATCTCACCATTCCTCTTCGACTTTACCATCGATGACATTCCGGAAATAGCCCTGATGAATGTAAGTAACGGCGGTGTGGATTTGTTGCCCGGAGCAATACTTCTCGACCTTGAGTATGCGGATGATATTGTCTTACTGTGCGATAATGCCCAAGCCATGCAATCCGCACTTAATCAGTTGGCAACCAGTGTCCGTAGGTATGGTATGTGCTTTGCACCTTCGAAGTGTAAAGTACTTCTACAAGACTGGCAGGATTCTAATCCTGCACTCACTCTGGACGGTGAGCAGATAGGAGTAGTCGAGAGGCTCGTGTATCTAGGTAGCTGCATAAGTGCTAGTGGTGGCCTGAGTGATGAGATCAACGCACGTATAGTGAAGGCCAGAGCGGCTTATGCCAATCTGGGCCATCTTTGGCGCCTTCGTGATGTCAGTCTGGCCGTAAAAGGTCGGATCTACAACGCGTCGGTGAGAGCAGTTCTGCTCTATGCTTGTGAAACCTGGCCTCTCCGAGTTGAGGATGTTAGACGACCCTCTGTGTTTGATCATCGTTGTCTCTGAAGGATTGCTGACATCTAATGGTAACACCATGTTGGTAATGCAGAGGTTCGGCATCGTGTGTTCGGGCACAGAGACGATAATGCAATTGGTGTCACCATCTTGAAACACCAACTTCGG